CTATGCTGGCACCGAAGGTGAGATCTGACACTACGGCACGTGAATCACGTCCTAAAAAGGACATGGAGAACTGCCCGTGCAATTCGGGTGGTCGGGAAACAACCGGTGTTGTCGAAACAACACCACCGGGGTGAACGCTATACGCCAAAAACCATCCCGGCTGAGTTCCTTTCGTTGGGTCTGGCTCGGACTTGATGGTGACGAACAATGCACTCTCGGATGGGTTAAAGACAATATCCGAGGTTGTGTTCTGTGGGCCATCTGGGGGGGTTGTTTGGTGAATAGGGAGTGGTAGATTCTGTCCCTTGACCACTAGGCCTGAAGGGGTGACGTCGAAACAAGTAATCCCTGGGTTGTTCATGCCCGTAGCCGCCACACAGGCTAGATTGTGACGAGGAGAATAAGTGACAGTGTTTGGAAAGTCGCCGAAGACTTTCCCCGGAGTGCCCACGAGAACTGGGTGGGTGGGGTTGTTGGCTGGAATGCGAAAGTAAGATAGGGTGTTGGACCCTGTATTCACGACGAAAAGCTTGTCTCCGGAGACAAACACCGAATCAGACGACAGGGTTGTGTCTGTCTCATTAGCAATGTGCTCAGCATTACTCAGCTGTGACTTGAAACCAGGCTATCTCACCGGTTGCTGGAACGTTGCCAAAGAGCAGTGCATACTGGCCAAGCCCGGCAGTCGGGGTGCGGACTGGCGAGGAGAGAAGACCATCCCATCCTACTTTCAATGAGATCACATCTGTGCCGTTAGGATTGTTGTCCTCGAAATACAATGCCCCTCGGATTGAGGGTAAAGTAGAGGCGGCGGACCCCCAAAGGGCCGCCAGGCCGAGAATAGTATTAAAGTGCATGATTGATGATTGTGATGAGCTGTTTCGTCTGGCCTGGACATTTTCCTGGGGTTTCTGTCGCGGGCAGACGAGGCTGTTTATACTATTCACAGGGCCTTCAATAGCCTGCACGATCTGATTTCATTGGCTGCTCGCTATTGATCTACCTTACTCACCGTCTTCTTATACCAGTGTGTGGGTATTAGTCACCCTCGGTGTGGTAACCACATTCAGCCGAAAGGTTTCCTAGGAAAAGTCAAAATCGCGACTGAGAATCGCGCAACAGTTGCTGTTTTCGGTAATATTATCTATTTCAATGTCGAAAAATTACCTTTTAATTGCCCAGGATAGTCCAATATGACTGGCGAGGCGCTGCTCGAGAATGGAAGTGGGTGTTGACGTCGGCCGGACTTGTCTTGGCAACTCGCTATTGTCCAAACACTGGACACCCATAGCTGGACTAGGAAGGACGTCCGTCGGGGGATGCACCTGCAGAAAATTTTCGTTATCTGTCACAATCCAGTATGTGGCCGAGCGTCCTTGGCCATCTATCTGCGTTCAAGTGACGCCATGGTGTGACCGTCAGTATAGCACCTATCATCATCAGACTTCAAGGCACGGGCCGGTGGACTTTTAATTGCTCCAGCCTAATTACCCTGAGTAAGTCAGACTGCACATATAAGCAATTGGAATTGGAATAGGTTAAAATGTCGATTATGTCATAATCTGTCCGATCTCCCTGCTCGTTGCTTCGCTTATGTAGTTTTGTTGGGCGGTGCGAAACGCCTCCATTGGTTATGATCACACAGGGGGCACAGGACTATTGAGTTAACTGATCTTGGCTATATTTGGAGACGAATATGTTTTGGAAAACGTCCAATCGCACCTATAATAGCTGTATCGTGCATCATACGGCCTCTAATAAGACACCTTTTTGCAGCATCGGGTTATGCGACACCGGGCTTAATCATTGGGCTTATCTTAGGCCGCCCTGGGTTAAGTTAACTCGTCCAGAATCGCGCAGAGTTGTGTTGCCCCTGGCTGAAATACTCGGGTTCCGTTAACGCCTCATGGCTCTACGAGGGCAGTCGACAATGATAGCAAGGTCGCCTCGAACTCTAGGATGGCTTACTTCGGGCTTCACAAGTCCGCGGTTGATGATCCGACACTCGTTCATTACGCCACGGGATTACTTCACCGAAACAAACTATTAAGTATGAGCAGATCGCCTCCTCTCTTGTTAGCCTGATAGGCTGTTCTAAAGTGAGGCGAGGGCGGTATCGACTGGCGCGATGGCCATTCTGAGCGATTATTTCCTCACATTCGTTTTAGTCCGTGCTCAGCGCAGCTGTGCTTGATTCTCGGGAATGGCGGAGCGAGCCAAGAACATTCTACCAGGACAGGGGCTCCATCTCAATTGGCGCTGTGCCTCACTCAGGAGTTCGGGATAGGCAATGATTGGGTCGCTCGGTTGTTCGCCAGTGGAGTGTCTCTGCTGTTGGTCCTATGGGGGCCAATTGCAGAGGACTTTTTAGGCTTCCATGCTGACCATTCTTTCTTCCTTCTCTTTTGAAGAGGGCAGCCCGCTCCTCGCCCTCAATCCGTTTTTCTCTTATCCGCGAAAGCTTCGCTGCGTCCCGTATAGCGGATAGTCGCTTATACCATTCTGAAATAGGAAAACAAAGGGAGAAATCGCTGGGCGACCACAACCGAAACAGGCATAGTGCTTACGTGAATTTAGGAGGAAGCAAACAGAGCGCCAAGGGATGCTTTAGTTAATTGGTTATTTTCTTCGTCCCCCTTTCTACCGTTCTGCTCTTCTCTACGGCCTTCGAGGGCTCTGGATTCCGCGGTAGTATCTATCAGCCCTGCCGGCACGCTCAACGCTTGCCATGGCTTGGATTCGTCGCACCTCCGTAGGGGTGGTCGTGGCCCTGCTACTGGCCCTGTTGATAGGCCAATTTCGAAGCGAGCAGCCAATTGAGTGGCCTGCCACTAGCCCCGGGAAGAACAGCGACACGATCCTATTCTTTGCTCTCGCCGAGACGGGGCAGATCAATGTCCAGCTAGCCACGGCCCAGGCGCTCCTGGAAGAGCACCCCAACGCGAAGATCCACTTCGCATCGTTTCCCGCTATGCGTGACAAGATCGCACACATCTCGACGGCTGCTCGCAAGCACAACCCCGCTGTAAACGAGATAGTATTCCATGAGCTCCCCGGACCGGGCCGCATCGAAGCTATCGGTCAGCGTCTGAATTGTTCAGGATCTCTTGAATGCCTGGCCCATCCGCCGGGCGCTCGCGGCGGGCGCTACGCGGCTAAGCAATTGGAATATTGCATGTGGTCCTGGACCGGCGAGGAGCACTTTGCTATTTACCAGAAGAGCGCGGACATCATCACCGAAGTGGACGCAGCCGTGGTGGTGGCCGACTTCGCTTTTAGGCCTGCGCTCGAGGCTATGGAGAACCTTCAACGACTCTCGATCGTCATCACCCCGCTTGCTGCCGCCGACTTGTTTGGTATGATACAGCCGATGTTGGCAGGCTTTTGGAAGTATCCAGCGTGAGTAAAGTTCCGACATAGCAGTTGCATGCGCTTGGCTGACATGTTGCAGCTGGGGCACTGGCTTTTCTTTTCCTGTTCCGTGGCATAAGATCCCCGAGAACGTATACCTGAATATACTCTACCTGAGAGCCATCTTCTCTCATCCAAATACCGCTGCTACGGTAGAGTATCTCAAAGAGCGAGGCGTCAATACCAAGGTGGTTGTACCGCTTCGGCCAGATCTATTTTTCATTTCGCAAACATTGCCAGGCGCCAGCATACCAGTTGACCATTACCCTGCGGAGGTCCTTTTGGCCGGTGCCATTTTCCTGGAGTCGGCGCCGGCCATCGAGCAGGACGCCGAGCTGGTGGCCTGGATCCAGAAGGCGCCGACGGTCGTCGTGAACTTGGGAAGTCTGTTCAAGTATACAGAAGAGCGGGCTAAAACGATGGCGAAGGTGCTGCAGGCCGTGTTGCAAGACACGGACGTTCAGGTTCTCTGGAAAGTGGCTAAAGGTGCCGAATTTGACGACGAGTATACCGCTCCCGTCAAAGACTTCTTGAAGCAGGACCGCCTCCGTATTATGACGTGGCTAAGCATAGATACGCTTCCTCTGCTCCAGACCGACAACACCGTTCTTTCGGTGCACCATGGCGGCTCGAGCAGCTACAACGAAGCCACGGCGTAAGTATCCCTCCACTACTCGACGCATATCATCTTTCTGACCATCGCTAGGGCGGGTGTACCACAGGTTGTCATTCCCTTGTGGGAAGACCTGTATAATTTTGCACAGCTGGCGGAAGACCTGGGCATCGGCCTCTACGCGACTCGCGATACAGCCCCCGAGTGGACGGTAGCTGGAATCGCGGACCCGATGTTCCGAATTCTGAAGCCCAGCGAAGAAAGTGCCAGGATCCGAGCGGAGGCCAAGCGGGTTGGAGAGGTTGCCTTGGAGAAACCAGGCAGATACGTCGCTGCTCGAGCCATTGCAAAGAAGGCGGGGTGGACCTGAGCGGAGATGCCCTACAGCAGAGAGAAGTGAGTCTGGGCTAAAGGCTATAGAAATATATGAAGGTGCCTCAAGGTGCCGGGCTAGCGGCCCAGTCTGGTTTACTAGCCGCATGGAGGTGGTGGGCGGGGGGTAGGGTAGGGACATGGTTAAAAATGTACTCCTAGATCTGAACCAATATCATCACGGCTATATAGAACTCTCGTTGCGGTGAACCTTGGGAAACGAGTATGATCACCCGCATCTCTGTTGAGTTTACTACTTTACAGTTCTCGCCCATCCATCTCAATCTTATTGAGGCTATTTTTGCGCACCTCGCGTGGCCACCTTGTCGGCGCCCCTGATGGCTACCTTTGTGGATAACTCTGCGGCTACCTCTGTGGCCGGCACGTCCATCTTGCCCACTAGTGATCTCTGTCGCTCAAGATCGCGGCTGTGTGTCTCTTCTGCTCTGGTCGGGTGGAGGAAAGGAAGAGAGAGGCCGGGAGACGGAGAGATGGAGTGACAAAAAAATGACGGCAGGAGCGGGATTTACCCACGAACCCCGAAGGGAACCAGAACCCCGTTCTGTCTAAATATATCATCACACACCACTGTCCAGATCCTAGGTGACAGAAGTGGGATTTGAATCCACGCTCCCGAGGGAACCAGGGCCCAAATCTGGCGCCTTAACCACTCAGCCATCCTGCCCTAGGATTGACGATCTTGTGATTGCTTCAATTGATACCCCGGAAGCGTTGGAAAGAGCTAGAACTCCTGTCTGTAGAGAAAAGTGCTCCATCCTAGTGGAAGGTGATCTGGAAGGCATGTTTGGTGATGGGTGGCGAAATGATAAAAAGGGAAAGAGCCTTTACGGTATGGTGGGGCGGCACAACTGCATTAAAGGGTCTGTCGTGAAAATATTTGGGAAATTGATCTTGGGCGCTCTAAATTTCTTTTCTAGGCTTACAGGCTAAGGAAGTCCATTCCTAATGACAAGTTGTCTTGTTGGTCTAAATCAGACAGTGCGGTTCGCCTTTGGTGCCGTTCCAATTGTTTTCGGTGCCTTTCCGCCTCCTGCTTTACCCGTCTGGTGTTAGATATTTGCTGTGGATCTAGAGCAATGGACGGTGAGGAGTGAGAATCGTAGTCGGTAACGGCCCTCCATGTTTCCCCGTCAAGCTCTTGTCCATGGACTTCATCGATAAAACAAGCCAGCGCCTTAGCATTAGATAAGCATACCTAGCCATAGTTACCAGCACTAGAAATGCCTATAGCGGTGGGCTGGTAAGTAGAAAATAAAGCCATTAGTCGTGGCAAATGTGGGAAGACTGAGATTAGATCTTTGCCTTCAATACGGATCCTTGCTATGAAGGGGTAAAGTTCCTTTGGGCGTGGTCGGTGATGGTAAAATCGTCGCATCTTGGGGCCAGTTTGTTTCTGCTCAAGTTGCAGCATAGCGTCTTTGCCTAGCTGAAACTGTAGCAGCCCTGCCAATACAGCCAGCTGACGTACTGCATCATTGCCAGCGCTATGCTGCTGATTTCTCCCAGGGATAGATGACCTGGCTGAAGTAAACCCAAGAGCTAGAAGGGTATCCCTTAGCCCTGGTCTTTTTGTTTTAGACACCGCAGAGGCGATCTCTTGCAAATCAACCCATGAGGAGAAGTATTTAATAATCTGTGAGAGATGGGATGCTATGATGGTAAGTTCAAGATCAAGATCGAATCCAACCAAGACAAGACGATTACTGAACCGTCGTTGAACCGTCTCTAGCAGGTTGACTAGGGTTGCCTCCTCCTGACGGGATTTGTTGTACTTGGCCAAATTGGTATGTTTCTCGGCCTCGTTCTCTGCGATGTCTTCCCTTAAGTCGTAGAGAATAACTCTGGATGGCATTTTGTTCAAAAAATGCCTTGAGAGTAAGATTGGTCGTGTCGGGAAAGTTGTGGTTCGTACTAGAGGGGGCAAGAACCGCCAAGCCAATCTCAGTGATGCCTTCGGACCTGTCTTTTGCATTCCATCCTTCCAAGTCGATAGCTATGAAGGTAGACTGAGAGTAGGCTGCCCTTAATTCTGCGCAAGACTGGATATTATTTTGCCACAAGCTTTGCCAATGCTTAGTCTTGAAGAGCCTGCAACAATCGTGATGCTTCATCTTGAGACGAGGGTGAAATTTTCGCTCTGTCGGTTGACCACATCTGGAAGAAAAGAGAAGGAGAGAGAAATAGGCGTAGGGAACCGAGCTAAAATATCGGAGGGTGGAAGTGCTTCGGAGATGCGAGATGGTGGGTTTTAAGTTATGGTTCGGCGCCAAGCGGATATTGCTGATGTTAGAGTGTGAGGTGAGTGCAGAAATAAAACAGCAGCATAAGAAAAGGCAGGGCTACTGGATTAGAGTCAGTTAACGTACCTAATCAATCACCGAGTGGGCCGCATCACCTAGGGGGCCACCGGACCGCATCAGACCATTCTAGCTGGTGTTCTGCTTACGTCGGCTTTTGGCAGTCCGATACAGTCCGGTGGCCCCCTAGGTGATGCGGCCCACCAGGTGGTTTTTTGGGGGGGGGGGGGGGGGGGGGGGGGGTTTACCTCCAGGCCGTCTTTGGGGGTCCAGCAATTGGGCATGGGGGTCTCGCCGACTTGGCTTGCAGTTTTAGACCGCCAAGTCAAAGCGCTGAGACTTTTGCATGTATAGCTCTTACACCTCTTAACTCCTTGTACATAAGTTCATATCTGGAGTGGATGTGTAGCTGAGCCATGCCCCTGGCGTTGCAACCTGCCTTAGCCTGCACGACATCCTGGTGAGGTCCGACCAGAATCGACTTCGCGCGTGCAAGCGCCATTCCATCCCGTCAATATTTCACGTTCGGAACCAGCCAAGCTCGCCCGCCCGCCGCCGTCCCCTGGAGAAGGGCTTGCAGGGGTGCGAGCTGATGTGACAGGGTTACCAGTTAGGGCTAGAGAATGTGCGCCCAGAGGAGAATCCGAGCAAGAAGCAGAGTGTCGATTGCAATCTAGTGGCTGGGCACTGTACCTGCCCATGCATGCACGTTCCCCACGACCAGCAAGGCGCTTAGAAAAGGATGCGGCCCCGGCTATCTAGAGGCGGTGCGGCCCCGCCGGCACCCATGAGTCTCTCACTTCTCTTTTGCTATCTGCAACTGATCCGTCGCTGGTTTTGACACAACTTACCCAATGCACACCATTGCGCTGCTCGGCCCAGTGCTGGTGTTGATGGCGCCGACATGGTCGCGTCCCTCTCGCTTCTCGTGCCGATCCTGGCGATGATGGCCCGGGTTGCGGCGCTGAACCTGACCGAAATACCAACGTGTGCCGTAAGTCGATGAAACCAGCCAGGGATGCGCCCGCCTGCCCAGTTCGCACTGCTGAACCTGACTAGACTCCGTGCTTTCTCGACGCCTTCCCCGAAACTTCGTGCGATCCGCTGGATACCCCTTGTTTATGCCTCGATGCCAAGTACAACCAGCTGGTCGAAAGCTGTGTCAGGGAAAGCTGCACGGTCAAGGAGGCCTTGGTCACGAAACGGATCACATGGCTCGAGTGCGACTTTCCTCTATCGGACAAAAGCCGGACGACGCTGTTGATGCAGGTGCTGCTCTTCACGCTAGAATCGCTAGCATTTTTGACAAGACTCGTCTCCAAAGTCATGAAACTATCGCCATGGTGGTGGGATGATACTACCATCGCGATCGCATACGTGCGTCACCAGGCCCGGCGCCGATGCTGACTTGACCCCCAAGCCCACGCCTAGATATCACGACTAATTGCTATCGAAGGTTTCCAAAATTGGCTTTCTAATTGCCTCTTTCTTCGGTATGCAGTAATAATTCTGGTTGGCGCACACGCTCTCTGCGCGCAGTTCTTCGGGACTGGATGCTGATATCGCTTGCATGCAGAGCAGGAAAATGGCAACGGTCAGGACCTTTGGATGCTTACGCCGACGCAGATAACCGCCTTCCTTCGGCTCTTTTTCGCATTCGAGATTCTCTACGCCTTTAGCATCGGCGCCGTCAAAGCATCCCTATTGTTCTTCTTCATCCGAGTTTTCCCCGAAGGAAATTGCAGCAAACTGTTATGGATCACGCAAGCTTTCAACCTCGCCGTCACAGTGGTATTCATAGCGGTCACTTGTTTTCAATGTATCCCTCTGAGCTTCTTTTGGGACGGTTGGGACGGCGAGCATAACGGAACCTGCATCAACATTGCGGCGATGGCTTGGTCGCATGGGGGTATCCAGATAGCCTTGGATATCTGGATGCTGATGCTGCCAGCATGGCAGATACTACGGATGAGCATTCCGTGGCGAAAAAAGCTTTGGGTCTTGTTTGTCTTCGGCGTTGGTATATTGTTGGTTCTAACTCTTCTCGGCCCTCACTTGACCTGCAGTCTCGATATGCTGACATGCCTGCTCAATAGCCTGACTATAGCAAGTATTATCCGACAGAAGAGCATTGTGGGCTTCACGCAGACCGAAAACGTGACAGGTACAAAATCTTCACCTTCAGGCACACAAGGGCTACAACCTCACAGACGCTTCTAACGCATGGTATCTTCCAGTCGGCTTCTTTGATGTTGCCCTTTGGTCCTGCATCGAACTGACAACCGGAATTGTGGTTGCGTGCATACCGGCTGCGCACCAACTACGCAAGAAGTTCATCCCACATATCTTCTCGTCGTGTAACGGAAGCAGAAATCCGACCCCAGCATCCTTCGGCGCCTCCCCCAAGCGCACGCCATGGCCGACCCCGATACATATTCACACGATCAAGTCCGCCGGCTACGAGGAGCTACATGAACGCCATAATGGAATACATCTAGCCCGCTACACTAATGCTGAGCCGCCTGATGGGACGGTGAGACCGGAATCTGGGCTGAAACGCCTGTCATCGAACATAGCGGAGTGTCCGCTGCCTGGGACTGCCCTTTGAACATCGAGGAAATCCAAAATAATCTGTTTCCATAATATCAACCAAAGAGAGACAGGCCAGCCCCGGCCCTCTGTGCATGTTGATTGATGAATTTATGCCACAACGCATTAGAATCGAGTTGCGAAGGCCGCAGAGAACTACAGGGCTATCCTATCCTAGCGCGCATTTGTTGGGAGCCCAGGAGCTTGGCGGTCCGAACACCCAGCAGCTTCGAGCGGAGGGTGACAGATGTGATGAACGATTCTTGGATGGGAGGTGTGCAGGGCTTTGATCCTGAACCTGCTTAGTGATCGCCTAGGATCGGGGTGGACGTATAAGGTGTCCACAGCATGTGCCCTAGGCATCGGCAAGATGGATTCACCCACGTATGTCATTGATATGTTACCTTGAGCTTGCGAGAGGTGGCCTACTTGCTCATGGTAGTTGTTCCGACGCGACTCCAATGCTCTGGTATCTGGCTCGCTTAAGAGTTGAGCCTCGGAAGAGGAGGAGTATTGGGCCATGCGCGACACGGGGTTCATGAAGCAGAGGGATCATGGCAGAGACAGTGTCGAAAGCTAGGGCTATATCCTCGGCGATAAATGAGATAATAATCCGCAAGGACAAACTAGCCAGGCAGTAAAGAGATTTGTCTACCAACCGAAGGAATTCAACTGTTCTAATAGCTGGTAATCTTGATTCTCTCACCACAGTGTCTATTTCCATCGCCGTTCTGTCAACATTATTTGTATTCAGACCGGCTACATTGATGCGACCGTT